GCCAGGCTCCTTTTTAGGTACCAGCCCCAAGGGCGATACCCGCAAGTTGGGAAATGGGGGTAAGAAAACGGCCCCGCCATGCGCCCCAATGACAATTCTTTTCCCAACTTGGCACCCAAAACTTCCTCCTTACCCTTGACCGACCGAAGATTATCTGCCAACCGTGGCTCCGCCGAGAAGACAAAGGGGATCCAGAATCCGACTGAAAACCCTTCCTCCAACACCGTGGCATCGCAGCGTTTTGGGTAGGCCTCGAGCCATGGCAACATCCTTGCCACACTCACTGGTGTCCTCCCCTTTGGAACCATCCTCTTGTGACCCTGCCTTGGGAATGGACTGCTTCGCCTTCTTGAAACATCGCATGGCGGGGTGAGCCCCCCCGCAATGCGAGCACTCGTGCTTGAACCTACAGGAGGAGTACCACCTGCAGTGGCTCTCATTGAAGAGCCAGCACACTCCCTTTTTCTGCCCAGCCGGCGCACCGGAGGAAGCTCCGGTGCCGGCTGCCCCTGGAAAGGACGCCGGACGACTAGGCGTCATGAGTAACAGCCACAGGCTGCCATCCTGCGTGCCGAAGTCCAATCCAGGACACGCCGCCATCTTCTGCCGGAACTGCTGGTCGTAATGGAACCAGCTCTGCCCGCCATACACCTTATACGCACCCCAAATCAGATCCAAGTATCCGAACAGCGGCGGCGCCCTATCCGGGAACCGACGGGTCAGAATACTTGCGAAAACCGCGAAACCCTGTAACCAATTCCCAAACGTTCGTGGGATTTGCTTACCCTTCTCAGGGTCCTGTGGCTCACCACGACGTGGTCGATCCACAGAATCCCTGTCCGGGGAAACCAGGGACAAAAAGTCCACAAATTCCCCTTTAATAATCTTATCCCGTGTCTCCCCTGAGACATGCATGCCCAAGGGGGATAGTTCACAACCTGGTAGAGAGGGACGGAACCCCCCCCCCGCCTGAGCCCTATCGGCTGGAGCCTCCTCCAGCACCCTGCGCACATCCCCTGATTGGCTATGCGCAGCTGGCAACCTATCTACCACTGCCCTGAGCAAGCGCAACAATTCCCTATCCGCAGCCTGCTCCTGCCCTAGCGCACCCTGTCCCCCAGCTAGGCTACCCCAAGCGCTAGCGCAAGCCAACTCACCGCTTAGTGGAGCTGCCACGGTAGCCCGCTCAGGTTGGCGAGGTCTGGGAGCCGTCCTCTGGTCCAACTCTTCCTCCTCTGATCCGGATTCCGAGTCCTCCTGCAGCCTCCACTGGGTGCTGTCCCATGTTGGACTCCTGTCCGGCAGCCCCCGAGTTCTGGGCTCTCCTTGCTGCAGGGCATCCGCCCCCAGCCTTCTCCTGGGCTGTACAGCCCTCCGATCCCGATCTTGGGTGCCCCCACGACTCCCCTGGGGCTCCGGCGCCGCATTTCCGTGCACTTCCGGGTTCTCCGGTGGGGCCTGTGACGTCCGCACTGTGCGCCGTGCGTCCGTCATGTACGCGCCCCTTGTGACGACCGGCGTCTCCACGCACCGCCCGGACGTCAGACGTCGATGCGTCACTTCCTGCCGGACCGGAAGAGAAGGAGGACTGCACGAGCGCTCTTCCTGCGCTCCGCCATCTTGGGCCCGCCTCACCGCAGCTCTCACCACCCGCAGCTGCCTCCTGGAAGCCCGGGATCCGCCATCACCGCCTCCATGCTCCGGCGCCGGCTCCTGCCCGCTGGTCCCGGCCTCCGATCCCCCTCCTCTACGCACCGGACTGGGGGAAAGGCGGGAAGGAGACCTAGAACGCCTCAGCCTCCTCCCGCGGGCCAGAGAAGGGGTCTCCGCCACTGGCTGCTCCACTTCCATCCGGGCCTGGGGAAGGTCGGCCATCAGCTCTGCCAGAGAACAGGATCCATTGGAAGCCAGGTAGGCCTGCAGCACCCCCAGCAAAGCCTCCCTTGACAAATCAGCCATCTTGCAGGGAAGGCCTAGCTTGCAGTTAACACTGGAGTAAAGTAACTAAATGCTTTTTATTTTATTTTATTTTTTAACAGCAGAAGGCTAGAAGCTAAAGGGCTCTGGAACTTTGAAAACTGTTCCAGACTGCTCCTTCTGCACTGGTGAGTCCCACCCCCCTGCTCTCCCTCTTATATCCCACTAATATAGGCAACATTGTATCTTTTATATTCCCACCCCTTACTGCAGGGCAGCAGTCATGCCTCCCCTTCCTTGCAGTCCAGGGGATATCTATCTGTTTTCTATCACTAAGATCTGTGTAACAAGTGTTGTAGGTGTGAAACAATATTACAAGTGACCGATGTAGTGAATTTGAATCAAAGTTACGCTTTGATTTGACTCTCAGATATGAAGTGAACACCCCAAATATATTATTTAGCACCAAAAAAAAAAAAAAAATCGACTTTTTAAAACTCCAATGTAAGCAGCAGATTAGCAGCAAAACAATTAGAATGTTTACAGCTGCGCAGTAAGTGCACTATTAGACGCTTCTATTTGACTCTCAGATATGAAGTGCACACCCCAAAATGTACTATTTAGCAGATTAGCACCCAGAAAATAAGAATGTTTACAACTGCGCAGTAAGCACACTATTAGACGCTTCGCTTTTACTCTCAGATATGAAGTGCACCCCACTAAAATACTATTTAGCAGTTTAGGACCCCATAAATTTGAAGTTTTGAAACTGAAATGTGACAGCAGTATTTGACGCTTCTATTTGACTCTCAGATATGAAGTGCACCCCACTAATGTGTTACCCCACTAATGTGCTATTTATCACCAAAAAAAATTTACTTTTTAAAACTCTGATGTAACCACGGTATTTGAAGCTTCTATTTGACTCTCAGATATGAAGTGCACCCTACCCCACTAATGTACTAGTCTGCAGAATTCTTTCCTAAGCTGTCCCTATCATCGGCAGCATCCTCTCCCTACACTAATAAGACAGCATGTGCGTTCGGCGTTACGCAACTCCAGCTTATATATAGAGGCTGAGTCACATGCTGCACTGGCCAATCACAGCCATGACATTAGTAGGCATGGCTGTGATGGCTTCCAAGGGCACACAAGTCAAACGCTTGTTGATTGGCTGCCCTGCAGCCTTTGAAAACGCGCCATTAAATCGCCGAACACTGAACTCCAACCTGAACATACAGTGATATGTCCGTGTTCGGGTCCAGGGTCCAAAAAAACCTAATGTTTGGTACGAACCCGAACTTTTCAGTTCGGGTTCACTCAACTCTAGCTTTGATACATTTCACCCTGAGTTTTGTATCTGTACATTTGCACTGTTGATGACACATTATTTCACTTTAGATTTTTGTAACTGTAAATCTTTAAAACGTACTAATAAGATATTACAGAAAAAAATCAGCTTTGAGACATAACATTAGTCGGATCTTTAAAGTGTTTACAGTATGACCAGAAAGAGGGTAAATATGGTCAGCAAATGTATATTTTGATAAAATGCCAGAAAAACTATTTAATCTGTCATTCCATCGCTTGTAATAGACCGCATTTTGTTAATATTCTCAGTTGTTCTTCAAATAAATGCTATGAGAACAGATTAATTAGGTGCAGTAAAACATGAAAGAGATTTATAAAGGACTCTAATGCAATACTGAAACTGATGTTCATCCTTCCATAATAAACATTGCTGATTTTGGACAACACTCTATTCTGCAAACTGAATGCTCATGTCAATAGACATGATTTTCTTACCAGTTTTGAACCGGGGACCTTTCACATGTGAGACAAACATGATAAACACTACACCTGTGCAAATCGGAGTAGCATACGCCATGTGCAAGCACTGAATGCAATACAGAAAATGCTGTGAAAGGTCTCTACTGCTCTCCTTTATCAATTAATTATTTGGCATTGAGTCTATGTTGAAGAAGGTATTGACAGATGGGGAAAAAAACTATTTTTATAGAGGTTTTACACACTATCTACACATTTGCTAGTAAAACAGCTGGCGCTGTGTTGAGATTAAATTGTATGCTCTTTAGAAAGAGCAAAATTCATTTTCTGTCTTGCATTCAGTAGTTACACATGGCGCATGCTGATATAATGAATACAATTCAACTTTTTCTCAGACAACATTATCTTCAGGTATTTGGAAACTACTTTATTCAGCTAACAGATCACTTAAGTCTTGCCATGTATAAGTGATTTTTGGATTCATAGTAAAGGAGGTGCATTTCCAAATGCAAAAAACGCAACTTAAATAATGTTTGTGCCAGGTTTCGAACCTGGTACTTGTCATGTGTGAAGCGAACGTGATAACCACTAAACTACGAAAACTGCCACAATGCCAACTTTGCGCAGGAAAATTGGGGGAAGGTGTTTGCTGCATACCCATCATATTAAAAAGTCCCCAGATTCAAATGACTATCACCCAGATCAAATCAGGGGTTCAGAAATTTCATGGAAGTCATATTTTTGCCCAGGCGAACCAGGGATTTCATGCCCAAAACAGTTCCATAGATTGGCGGCAAAGTGCCGCTGGAGAACCGAACGGGAACCGCAAGGTTTTCATGCCGAAACTAGCTCCAGATGGCCGCCACTGCATGTTCAAATGTCAAATGGTGGCTACTTCAACTGTTCGGGAGTTCGAAGAACCATTGTCTAAAGTCCCAATAGCCACAAATAGGGTCTCTCAGCCAAAACAAATTAAAAGGGGCCAAAGTCACAGGGCAAAAGGTTGGCAAATATTCCTCTCCAAAAACCAGTGGCAAGGTCACTTTCTCCACAACTCTATTCAGCAAGCTGATCGCTCATGTCAGTAGACATGATTTTCTTGCATTTTTAGTAGAAAATCCATCTCTGAAAGTACAGCGAGCATGAGTTTTGTTTGTGTCGACGGTGATTTTTGCACAAAACCCTTCTTCCATTGTAGGGAATATGACAAAAAGAACAGGTGCACTTGAAATTTGCAAAGAGACTTTGAAAAGTCGCATTCTAACAAAAATGAATGCAAAAGGCAACGAAAGCAATGTTTCTGCCTGGTTTCGAAACAGGGATCTTTTGTGTGTTATGTGAATGTGATAACCACTACACTACAGAAACTAAACCTGTGTGCATCCCTGGTGAGACCGGAGTAGCATCCGTCATGTGCAAGCAATGAATGCAAGACAGAAAAGACATTCAGTACTTGCACATGGCGCATGCTGATTTAATGAGTGCAATTCAACTATTTCTCAGACAACATTAGCTTCAGGTATATGGAAACTAGTGATGTACCTTACGGTTCGCCGGCGAACGGTTCCCGGCGAACATAGCATGTTCGCGTTCGCCACGGCGGGCGAACATATGCGCGGTTCGACCCTCCCCCTATTCGTCATCATTGAGTAAACTTTGACCCTGTACCTCACAGTCAGCAGACACATTCCAGCCAATTAGCAGCACAGCCTCCCTAGCAGACCCTCCCACCTACTGGACAGCATCCATTTTAGATTCATTCTCAAGCTGCATGCTTAGTAAGAGGAGGGAAAGTGTAGCTGCTGTTCATAAGATAGGGAAAAGCATAGCTAGGTTAGGGATAAGGGTATGCTTTTTTTGGATTTTTTTTTTCTATGTAATGTAAATGCACTTAGTTGTCTGCCACTGCTGCCAGCTTCTGTGTCAGGCTCACAGTGCCCATTTCCCCAGTCAGTGCCACCAATTACATCTGGTGTCACAATAGCTTGGATTTAAAAACAAAAAACTTTTTTCACTGTTATAGATTGAATAGCAGTCAGTTGTCTGCCACTGCTGCCAGCTTCTGTGTCAGGCTCACAGTGCATACTGTGCCCATTTCCCCAGTCAGTGCCACCAATTACATCCGGTGTCACAATAGCTTGGATTTAAAAACAAAAAACTTTTTTTACTGTTATAGATTGAATAGCAGTCAGTGTCCTTAAAGCGGGTGTGTTACGCTAACAGTGGATAAGCTGACCAGTGCCACTAATTAGATCTGGTGACACAAAGCTTGGATTTAAAAAAACAAAACACTTTTTTCACTGTTATAGATTGAATAGCAGTCAGTGTCCTTAAAGCGGGTGTGTTACGCTAACAGTGGATACGCTGACCAGTGCCACCAATTAGATCTGGTGACACAAAACTTGGATTTTAAAAAACAAAA